AAAGAGAGATCCAGGCACTTTTGCAGTTATGTAAACAATCCAATTGGATATTGGAAAGTGGAAATGGCAGGAATGCCATTCCCTTCCCGGTCAAAAGAAGAGCTCAGAAAAGTTGGACTTGACCGTAAAAAATAGCCGTTATATGACCGTACGTTACCAATCCAATTCCCCAGTTTAAAAAAAGACAAAATTATACCGCGTAATTTGCATGACCCAAAAATTAAAAACAATTAAAAATAAATAAATTTGCATGCCATAAAGAAATATTTCGTTTTTTTCTTCTCCATCTCAAGTTTAACAAACAAATAAATGCCCTTTGTCTTGTGGTTTGTTTACGGATTGGCCACCGCAACGAAAATGAGTTATGACTCATCCATTGGTTTACTCCATATTAAGCAACCTATGGAGAAAACAAAAATCTGTTTTGTTTTAATCGATCATGTTGAAAAATCTTGCTCAATCCCAACATCATTTAAATAAAAATATCATATCATGACTCGATTGTTGTAATTTTTTTGTTTTGTGGAAATTTATTGTTTTGGAATTTGGATCCAAATAACATTTTCCTATTAGATAATTCGTATAACCTTAATGTATACTAAAAATTAACTAACAAACATGGATAATAAAAGTAAGGGGTTTGTAGCTCTTATGCATCCAAGGTCTTGTGTTCGATTCCTCCTCTTCAATATCGTCTGTATAAAAAAAAATGTATAATACAAAAATTTAAATAAGACTCCTACTTTTCATTGCATGAAAGTTTTGGATTTTATAAGTAAATTCGTATACATATGTTTTGCATGTGAATTTTTTCATTTGTGATTTTGTGGAAACTTATCTTGCACTCCAAGACGTTTAGATCTTCATGTAATCTTAAGATTCTTGTGTATCTAGTAGTATATGAAAAAATCTATATATTTTCAATACCGTTGATTACTTGAGATGTGCTCATAAATTGCACTGGGTATCACCCTATGTACCCAACATTATGTATGACATGTTGATTTAGAATAGATCACATAGTTGTAATTGGGAATACAATTATAAACATTACAAACATTTTTTTGCACTAATTTACTAACCTTCTCGACATTCATAAGATGAAGAGAAGACAAAGGTATCACCACCAAAGTTGTTTAGGATGGGAAGGACACAAATTAAAATTGAACTTAATTTGGCGGTGCTTGAGTGCTGGCCCCTTCGAGACGTGCCTCCAGCTGTGTAGTGTCTCGACTCCATGTGTTTGATGAAGACAAATTAACCCTACTGCCTGCAAATCAAACCTACTCCAACAAAAACAATTTGTTGCATTCACGAAAAGAGGTTAAACTATATATGCCCGTGACTGCTCAAAGAATACAGAGAATAAAATCTATCCAGTCTTATTCTCGATTTACGGCAGATTACGTGATAAGTCATCATACTAGTCGAATTATGTCGAACAAATGCATCAAAAATTATAATGTAGATTAATTAAGTGGAAAACATAATAATTAATCAGTCAAGACGTTCTCGTTACAAAATACACCGTCTTCCCGTCTTTCTTTTTCTTATTAGAAACACACGTAAATCAAGTAAATATCTAATTGTTAATCGAATACTATAAAGAAGTTGCATATGCATGCAGATGGATTTCAAACTGGAAACACTGTATTTCAACGCAAAATTAATAAACAATAATCATGGAGTCTCCAGCTTTCTTCCACGATACTAATCCTAATTAATTATTAAACTAAAAATATTAAATACAATTACAAGAAAAGAAAAGAAAAAGTAAATTGTAAATACAGGTACAACTGATGAAGAAGAAAGTGGCATTGGGGTAATAAAAGCAAAATAAATGTCGCATTCGATATTTCCACTTGCTTATAAACCCGACATGAGTCTCTTTCTTCTTCTACCTTCTATCCCCCCTTTCTGACAGTCGCAGCTACAGAGCGACTGTACTCTCTCACTCTCTCATCTTCCACATTTGGATATACGCAGCTCCAAAGCTTAGCCATGGCCGCCGAGGCCCAGTTCTGGTTTGCTGCTCTACTTCTTCTTCTGCCATGTCTATCTGCCATGGCCAAGCAGACTTACATTGTGCAGATGAACCACCATTCCAAGCCATCCTCCTACGCCACCCACCATGACTGGTACTCTGCCCACCTCCAATCTCTCTCCTCCACCGAAGATTCTCTTCTCTACACCTACACCACCGCCTACCACGGCTTCGCTGCCTCCTTAGACTCCGAACAAGCCGAGTTGCTCCGCCAATCCGACTCGGTGCTCGGGGTCTACGAAGACACTCTCTACACTCTCCACACCACTCGGACCCCCGAGTTTCTGGGTCTCGAGATGGAATCGGGGCTCTGGGCCGGTCACTCGACCCAGGACCTCAACCAGGCCTCCAATGACGTCATCGTCGGAGTTCTCGACACCGGCGTCTGGCCCGAGTCAAAGAGCTTCGACGACGCAGGAATGCCCGAGATCCCTACCCGGTGGCGCGGCCAGTGCGAATCAGGCTCCGATTTCGCCACGTCCCTCTGCAACAAGAAGCTGATCGGAGCTCGGAGCTTCTCAAAAGGCTTTCACATGGCCTCCGGCGGAAGCTTCATGAGAAAATCGAAGGAAGCCGAGTCGCCTCGAGATCGAGACGGCCATGGGACCCACACCAGCAGCACCGCCGCCGGGTCCCACGTGGCCAACGCCAGCCTCCTCGGCTATGCGACCGGGACGGCGCGTGGGATGGCGCCTCACGCGAGGGTCGCCGCGTACAAGGTCTGCTGGAGCACCGGATGTTTCGGGTCGGACATTCTGGCGGGCATGGATCGGGCCATCGTGGACGGCGTCGACGTGTTGTCGCTCTCTTTGGGCGGTGGGTCCTCTCCGTACTACCGCGACACGATCGCGATTGGCGCGTTCACGGCTATGGAGAGGGGCATTTTTGTCTCTTGTTCTGCCGGGAACAGTGGGCCCAGTAAGGCCTCGTTGGCGAACACTGCCCCGTGGATCATGACCGTTGGAGCCGGGACCTTGGACCGGGATTTCCCGGCTTACGCTTTGCTCGGTAACAAAAAACGTTTCACTGGCGTGTCGCTGTACAGCGGGACCGGGATGGGAAATAAACCGGTTCAGTTGGTGTACAGCAAGGGGTCCAACAGCTCAAGTAACTTGTGCTTGCCCGGTTCGCTGGAACCGGAGCACGTACGTGGGAAAGTGGTGGTATGCGATCGCGGCATCAACGCACGTGTGGAGAAAGGTGGTGTTGTACGTGCCGCGGGTGGGATTGGGATGATACTCGCCAACACGGCCGCCAGCGGTGAGGAATTGGTGGCTGACAGTCACTTGTTACCGGCTGTGGCCGTCGGGATGAGAGTCGGTGATCTAATTAGGGAATACGTCCAGCACGATTCGAATCCAACGGCTCTGATTAGCTTTGGCGGGACCGTGTTGAATGTACGGCCGTCTCCGGTAGTGGCGGCGTTTAGTTCAAGGGGCCCCAATCTGGTGACTCCCCAGATCTTGAAGCCGGATGTGATTGGTCCAGGTGTCAACATCTTGGCGGGATGGTCAGAGTCGATCGGGCCCACTGGGCTTGAAGAGGACACTCGGAAGAGCCAGTTCAACATCATGTCAGGTAACGGCTAGTTTGTAAACCTTGATTAATGCAAATCGTTGATGATGTTGACCTCAAGCTGTGTGATTTGTTTGTAGGTACATCAATGTCATGTCCACACATTAGTGGGCTTGCAGCATTGCTCAAAGCAGCCCATCCGGATTGGAGCCCAAGTGCAATCAAATCTGCACTGATGACCACAGCCTATACCCAAGACAACACCAAGTCCCCTCTCAAGGACGCCGCGGATGGTTCACTTTCGAACCCGTGGGCTCACGGCTCCGGCCATGTCGAACCTCAGAAGGCACTGTCGCCGGGTCTCGTATACGACATATCCACCGACGACTACGTTGCGTTTTTGTGCTCCTTGGAATACACTCTTGAACATGTGCAAGCCATTGTCAAGAAGCCAAACGTTACATGCTCTAGAAAATATTCAGACCCTGGCCAACTCAACTACCCTTCATTTTCGGTGGTGTTCGGGAACAAACGGGTTGTGAGATACAGCCGTGAGTTGACTAATGTAGGGGCTGCCGGGTCCATATACAGAGTGGCTGTGACTGGACCTCCAATGGTGAGGATTGCGGTGAAGCCCACAAGGCTTGTGTTCAAGAATGTAGGAGAGAAGCAGAAGTACACAGTCACGTTTGTGGCTAATAAAGGTGCAGACAAGACAGCAAGGTCAGAATTTGGTTCAATTGTGTGGCAAAACCCACAGCACCAAGTGAAGAGCCCAATCGCCTTTGCATGGACGCAGTTGATAGATTGAGTATGGCTTTGTTTTTCTGGGCTTTCTGTTGTTAGGCCTTGAGCAAGTTGGGCCCGAAAGAAGCACAGGTGAAAATTGAAGATCAACCAAGAGTTGGGAGTGTTTGTGTTTATTTGGTTATTGCCTTTGAGGAAGGCAGTTCAAAGGGCAACAGCAAATTCGTTTGGCTAGAAAAAACTAATGTAATAGAGTGAATGACATACCAATGTTTATAGGTATGCCCTTTTTTTTTATGACATACCCACATGTTAATTGCATAGTGGAGTTTGCTTACAATTGGATTGCCCATTTTATATTTTCTTTTTCGAAAATAGTTATTAGCACTCCAAAACAGTCATCATCGTGCTAAAAACAGGAAACAAAAGCTCCCATGAATCCATCTTAACCATTTCGACTGGATCAGAGGAATGGCTCGAGTCACCGAGAAGTGTTTTGTCAAGACCAATTGAATGAACCCAATTCTTTTGATCTTATATTATGAAAATTGTATGTGATGCATTGTATATTATGTCAACTTTAGCTTGTTGAAAGTTTGCCTTCTAAAATCGTTACAGGTATTTAAGGGGTTGCAGATGATAAACCACCAACCCATTCCCAACATGAAACTTACTCATATAAAAAGAACACTTATTCAACAGGGAACCAAGAATGCAGAGGCCAATACTATAAAACTTACTTCATAGCTCACATAATTTTTTTTAGAGCCCTCACTATCGGCAAAATTAAGACTAGTTCAATTGAAAAACCATGTTGAGGAACAAAGCTTCCATAAACGTCAAGCATCAATACTACAAACATATACTGCAGGGGTTACAACAACAGGATATTCTACAACAGCAGCAAGGCCGTAACTTTGGACATTTAGGACAAGAGCATTTCCATTTGAAACAATTGCTACAAGAGCAATCAGGACATGAACACGACGGAAAAATGCAACAATTTTTGCTGCAGGAAATATTTTTGCAGCAGCTGGACCGGGGACATGAGCAGCTGGACCGGAGACATGAGCAGCCAGACTGGGGACATGAGCAGCCACACCGCCACTTTGGAAGTGGACAGCAGCAGGCACACGGATTACAGTTACACTGACCGCAGTCACAGCAGCGTGGCATTTCTAGGTGAAGAGAGCACCGATTGCAGCAGCAACAGCAAATCCATGAACAGCTAAAACAGGGCATTCGGCTGTAAGACAAAACATACTTATGTCATATTCAGAAGTTTATGCATTTTAACTAACTGGTTAGAAAAAGCCTGATTTCTTTTGAGTTCATGCTTCTGAACAAATTAATCTTTTCACCAGTGCTAGTTGAATATGAAGGTAGATTAATGTTTATATAGTAGCAAAACAAAAAACTAAATGTATTTGTCCCCCCGTTCACTGTTAATTCTATCAATCACAAGAAGGTTAGGGTCTGATGGACTCTGGATCTCAAATGTTAGAAGTCTTTCCAATACTAAAGGAAAAATGTTCAGTGCACCGCATTCTTATGATTTCCAAACCAACAGGAGTTAATTCACTAGTGATTTGTAACCACAACCAATTTGACAGTTTCTAGGAAATAAATGTTCTTAATTTCAATGTTTCTATAATGTTTCCACTGTTTTTCTTATTGCAGTATCTGTCAAGTATAAATTTAATTTTTCTCAGTAAGGAGGAGAGAACAAAATTACAGCATGAAAAACTCACAAACTAAAATAATTCTACGAAAAGAAAAAGAAAAAGAAAATGGTACCAAAGCCATTTCCAGAAGCGACATGACCGGCGTTTCTTTCGGTTCCTGCTTGAAAGAGAAAGAAAATCAAATGACCATAATGCTTATAAGACACTCTAAACCAAAAATTTGGTGACATTGTTCTTACGTAGGTATTAATGGATCTGGGTTTGCAGCCACAAAATCAGCAACCCTGTAAAATGATCATATTCAATCTATTACCAGTTCACATATACTTAAACTCCTGGGAACCACAAAAAGAAATAGAAAAACTAACATACTCTTTGCAGCATCTTGAAGAAGGTTGAAGGCGTTCAACAGATTTAAGTTCCTCCTGCACAGAAAAGGATAAAATTATTGAAATTATTACCCAAAGACCATACCTACCTAACCTATCCGTCAAAAAACTTTCTTGTTTCCATTATTTGACATGTTAAAGACAAACGGGGCATCGAATGAAGTCAATGGAAAACCTGCCAAACAGCTTTTGAGAGTACAAATTGACAGAAGTACAGAATAGCCACCTATGATGAAACCAGAACACAATAATGTGCTTGCCTATATTCTAATAATTCAATATCACTAATTCAAGTTGATCAACTGGTCTCTGCATTAGAAGATTATGCAGAACCGGTAGGAATAGTTCACCGAGTTGATCCCCCACGCCGGCTTGCGGCGAGACAGTGGGGTTTCCGGTGCTGAACAAAGTTAACTACAGTCAAAACAAACCTGTAATCTAAAACTAACTGAAACTATCCAACCACGGAGACAGAGGAGTACCATTCATTGGATCAACCTATAAGATTCCTAGCAAGACACCATCAAGTCATTGAGAGGGTCTAAAACTTCCCAGTTAATTCATTCATAAAACGGAACAAGATTGAAATGGTTTATAGTAAATCAGGATCACTCTCCACCAAGATAATTTTAAAAAATAAAATTATATCTTTAACTTTAAGCTAAGTGTTAAACCAACATATTGTCTAGCTTTATGAACACACGCTTTAGGGGAGATTTTCTTAGTCCTGGTTATAGTTCGCAGAAATGAAAGTACTTTTTCACTTTTCACATAATTAAGCTAATGAAATTAATAAAAAAGTTAACCTTTCCAGTTCCAGCTTCAGAAAAAGAAACCCTTTTAAATCCAAGCAAGATTTTTTTTTATATCTATACTGGACAAGCCATATACAGCATGAACTTCTTTAGCTTGTTTTCACATCAGTACAAATTTGGTTAGTTGTCAAGAAACCATAGAAAAGACAGAAAAGACTTGAAATCTTAGAATTACCATCTTTACCCAAATGATAATGACATTCCAAATTTGAATGTTTCAACTCAAAGAACTCACATCAATTAACTAACAAGTAGTAAATCTAGCGCATTTACCCAAAAAAAAAAGGAAAAAAAGAAAAAAGGGTGCAACTATACAAGCCAAGTAAAATTTAAACTCACCTCAAGAAAACCAATCTCCCTCTCAAGCATCTGAACCCTGGCTGTTTCTCTGCGCTTCCCATACAAATCTGGATACTGTGGAGGCGACTTTGGGCACGGTGGTGGCAGTGAAGGCACTGATGCAGAACAACCAGAGGGAGCTGCCATTGCTAACCAAAACCCAGTTGTTGGATCACAAGAACTCGGCCCACAAATGAAGAAAAGACAGAGGAGATTTCAGAGTTTAGCAGCAGTAGAAATGCTGCTAGCTACTATTACTGCAAAAGCTAGTAATTACAAAGGGAGGTCACAAGCACACACACACACAGCAAAGCTTTAATGGTAAGTGAAAGAGAAAAACAAGAAGCGGCAAACAAATGATGGTAGGTGTGAAAAAATGGTATACAAAAAAGTATGGGGTAGAAGCAGTAATTAGGGTCTCTGACAAGGATAATTACGACCCAGAACCACAAAAGATAAAAAGAGAAGTTGTACAGTGCATAAATGCTCTGAATGGTGTTGAGCTTTTGCTCTGCAAAAGGGGATTAATGGGAAAGGTTTAAACTTTAAAAGGGTAATTAATTAACAACAAAAGGGGTTATAATGAGGCTAAAAAGAGAGCCATTATTGAAAGTTTCACAGCTCACAAGGCCATGAATGAATGAATGTTTTCATAAAGGGGCTAAAAAAGAAAGATGATTCTTGTTCTCGAGGCACATCTTTGTGTTTGCATGGTTGGTAATAATAGCTGGTTCCAATAATATTAATAATGGTAATAGTAAAGACGGCTGTGAAAAAAGCCTGCAACTGCAAGTGTCTGTACGAACCCATTTGGCAAAGTTGAGGGATTTTGATCGGATTTGAGTGAGTTTTTTGGAGTTTGGTTTATGGAAAAACAAGTAAAGAAAGCCCTGTTGACACTGTTCTGCTAAAAACTAAAGCTTTATGTTTTTATATAGTGAAAGTTCCTTTCTTTCTCTGTTTTTTTCTCAATTTTTTTTAATTTCTCTGATGGGGTGTTGCAGATTTGCAGAGAAGAAGCGAAAAGCACGATGGCTAAGTACCTCAGACCGCACGTGACCGCTGCGTAGGAAAGAGAAAAGGGGGAAAAGGTCGTTGTGTGTTTGGGCAAAACAGAGACTTGGACAAATCAGCCCTGATTTTGAGAATAACTACCATCTGGGTAAAATTTCTTGTCAATTTACCCTTTAACCTTGTACCATAACAATTCCTTCCTGCCATCATTCACTCACAATTCTATCTTCAATCAGCACAAGCCTGAATGGAGTAAAAATGGGTTCTTGTTTAATTTTTGAATTGTGGGGGCCATCCTTTTACTGTAGCTTGGACAAATGACAATGGTAATTTTTTTTCCACCCCCAACTACTTTTACTGTAGAGTACATTTCGATATTGAAAATATTCTTTTGCACCAAGAACTTTCCCATAATTTTATTTTCTACCCCCAAAGTATGGTCTTCTTCTGCATTGTCAGGTGCAGTCAGAGAAATTTAAGCTGAATTTAACCACATGACCTAAACCCTGCAGGCAGAGCTTAAACTTGGGCTTGAATTTTCCCATTCCAGCTACATTCTCAGTTAAAATGGTCCATGAACTCACACGCAGCTGGCTCATTAATGGCAACTTCAAGCTCTAAACATGAAATACAGAGTCCGAAGCTTTAGTTTCAATACCTTTCTCACATAAATAGGTACCAAAGCTCCACTTTCTGGGTTCTAAATGCGCAACTCACTGTTCTTCTTGGAACTTATTGAGTACAATGAAGTATGGCCCAATCCAATTCCAATCAACTCACACACATGTCAATATGAGCTTGAACTTTAATCATTCATTCAGTTGAATCTTACATGAGTGTGAGTTTAGATTCACAAATTTATAAGATAAGGATAATACTAATAAGAGACATTGTCATATAGAGCAGTTTTAAGGTGCACGGAAACTTGAGTTGATTTTGACCGTTGATGTATGTGTACGTAGCCTACAAAATACTTAAAATTAAGATCAAGCGGATGACCAATTTAACAGTCTAATAACAAAAGTATGATGAGATTGAGAAGACTACTCATCTTAATTAACCACAAATACAAATGTTAAATGAAAAATGTTATATTTGGATTTGTTGATTTTAGGTGATGATTTAACACTTGGTAAGTAAATAAGGTCATATGATTAATAAAGCTTTAATAGAAACTATATAATGATTGGTTCAAATATTATAAAATATTACAACATGTTTACTTAACATGAACGAGGAAAGTCATAAATTGGGGAACTTGATATGAGAATTACGGAATTGAAATCGGATCACTACGCAGGTGATTCCATTCATAATTTTGAGGCTTTTTTATTATGACATTAAACTTGTTGCCTTCAAATGAATATATGTCTTCACTACTCGATTGAAATAAAATTTTCCATCAATTCTTATCATTTCATGTATGCTTCACAATTTAACATATAAATAGGGATGATTAGATATGCTCTCTTTAGAAACAGAAAAACTTGTGTGAAACAGAAATAACACTATTTTGCTATCTCTAATCAATTACAAATTGCCACATAAAAAAGTTATCAAGTAAAATATAATGTGATTGATAAAAAATAGCAAAATAATACTATTCATGTTTCGCATAAGTATTTCTCCTTACCCATGTTTAAGAGGCATTTCTGTAGGGGTCTCAACTCGTTTTTGAAACCCACGCGCCATCGGTGGATGTGAGCACGTTTCTGGAGGAGTGGGCCCTAGTGTGTATTGATCTCATTCATGGATGGGGCCAGGCGGGGGGTTGTGGGGCCCGCGGTGAAGCGACATATCATGCAGGAGGCGATGAATTTCTGCTCTTTCCCAAAGTACCACGGCAAAAGAGCGGTCGCTGATAACGTGTTCAGTGGGCCGGGCCCCAGTTGGGCTGCAAGCCCAAGATACCCAACCCTCCTCTACTGTCTTCTTCCTCCTCCCTCCCCCCCCCTCCGTGATCGTGCTAACGTGAGCCGGTGGTGAATCGTATTCGTATCATTGTGTCTTTATTGCTTGCTATAGTTGCCCGTGCAACACTCGACACGTGCGCACGTTTCAGTCACCTTGTTATAATGCCTCACACGACTGCTCTTCCTCTTGGCCCAAAACACACACCTTTTGTTCTATTCACGTTCATTACAAATTACAAACAATTATCAGAAAACATTAAAAAAAAACAGGGAAGCCCAAAAAAGAAAACTGAGGTTAGAAGAAACGTTCAGTTTTTGTGGTGTTGGACCCAAAGGGTTATGGTGGGTTGGCTCATGAAGTTGGTTGTTTGGGAGAAGTTAGTCGTTCACATGCGAGTGGGTAATTTCTAACCGTCCACATGTGCTTACGGTTGGAAATAATTCACACAAGTATGGATGATTGATTTAAGTTGGGACGATTTCCAACAGCTCGCATTTATCAACTATTGGTAATTTTCCATGTTCATGTTCGGCTCTCTTTAGCAAAACGCTTGGGACAATTTCCAACTACCTGACATGTATTGATAGTCACTGATCTTATCAAAGGAGGGCACCGGTTTGGATGAGAGAAAATAACTTGAAATGTAGCTAAAAGTTGAGAGTTTAAGAGGAGAAATTGACAATTCCATTGTTTGGCAACTTAAGCGCAGAATTTATTAAATGACACGCATAAAAAATCGTGGAAATTGGAGCATCAAATTCTCGAGTTTAATTTCCACCAAAATATGAGTAATTTGACAATTTCCATAGTGCCATTTACAAAATTCTACATATATAAATCCAAACATTGAAATCTTCAATTGCCAGAAATTGAAATGATTAAAATCTAAATTCCGTCATTTTAGAATTCTATATAATTGTAAATTCCTTCATCCAAATAGAGAGGAACTTGCCCTGGCCAGAGCTTTAACAGCTTTGAACAAACTTAACTTTTTTTTTTCTCTTCTAAAAATTACACATTTCGTACTGACAAAATTTATTCATACGATGTATGACCATTAGTCCTTCAATGATACGTGTGGGAATTGGCTTTCCCCGAAAAAAAAACAAAAAATCAGACACCGGTCCGCGGGATTGAAGTTGAGCATGTCAATCTAGAAATGGGCTGCTAATAACACAAGTCAGAAAGATGGAAAACGACCCTTGTGTTTTTCTTTTTCTTCTTGTTCAGAAATGACCGTAAAACACAATCCAAAACCACGTTTTTTAAAGAAAAACTAAAGTCTATAAAGTTAATCACATGGAGTCGAATCCTTTGGTTAACTGCAACTTTGAAAGGTGACAAGCATCTCTTGCCCAATAATTCAAAAGGCCAAAGACTCATTTCCATGAATCTTTCGAACTGCAGTAAAATTCAACTCCTACAAGATGCTTAACAGAAATAACTTAAAGAACGTGGTGCCAAATTCCCTCTTTCAAAAAGAATGAAACACACTGGAAATATTCTCTTTTTAGACTTTGAGCTGCCAAATTCAAAGAAGCTCTCAAAACCCCTTTGGGATTTCTTCACTGGTTTACTCAAATCAGGAAACTTGGTATACCTCTTTAGAGATTAAACCAAAAGCCAAGTACCCTCAGCAGATTACATTTTCTTCCACGCCAAAACTTGCCCCCTTTCATTGGCTAACAATCATCCTCTTCAACAAGCAACTTGGTCTATGCCAAAGCATATATATTCTTCCATCTTATACGCATTGTATTGTATATATTATTACACACAGAGTCAAACTTGCCAAACCTTTGAATGTAGAACCCACTAGATCCTTAGGCAACAAGCTTATCTACTTTTCTTACTCTTATCTCTAACTTTGTGTATAAAAAGACCCTCTATAGCAATGATTTCAAACTTGAACTAGGTCATTGGTACGAAGAAAATAAAGAGATGGCAGCAAAACCGAGTGTGATTAAGCCTATCATTAGCAAGATTTATTGTTCTTCTTCTCAGGCTGTGCTTGTGGTAAGGAGGAGGCCACACGTAATAAATGGAGGTGGTTTTGTGGTCACAGATTGTAGTCAGAAGGTTGCTTTCAGGGTTGATGGATGTGGAATTCTGGGCACGAAAGATGAGATGATTCTGAGGGATGGTGATGGAGACGCTTTGCTTCTCATTCGTCGAAAGGTATATATGTACAAGTTCAATCATGCATACATCTATAAGAAAAGACATCTTCTGTTTTGGTTGTGCATATGCTCATGGAGAGATGTTGGGGATGCTTAATTAATTTCCATAATGCACTGTTAATTCTTATGATAATGTACCAGGGAGCAATGGTTGAGGCACTAAGCATTTACAGGAAATGGAAGGGCTACACTTTAGACTATGAAGGATCACAAGATCAGTTGGTTTTCTGTTTGAAAGAGCCAAACTCCTGTTTGGCAAGAACTCATGCAATCAGAATCTCCACCAAGGCTAGGCAAAACAAAGACAGGGACTTTGAGATCAAGGGATATTTTCCTGATAAAGATTGTAGCATTGTTGACTCAAGAGGCAACACAATGGCACAGGTAATAATTCCTATTCATGAAAGAATATGTAAAAAGTTTCATTGTTTGTGAGTTTCTATTGAAATTCTGAATGTTTGGATTTGTTTATTGATCACAATGAAACATAGATAGGGGTGAAGAAGGAGTTGATGGCAAGCAAGGATCTCTACCATGTTGTGGTGACACCAGGCATGGATCACGCTTTTGTTATTGGGGTCATTACCATTCTTGATTACATATATGGTGAATCCACTAGGTGCTAGTAATTCAGATATTCAAGAGAAGCTTTCCTTGATGTCGCATCAAAACATGACATCTTCACAGTTCAATTTTCTGCAATTTGGATGCTGCTAATGCTCTGTTTTGATATCTCTCTCTCTCTCTCTCTCTCTCTCATTTTTCATTTTTCCTTTTTTCCCGGATTGTGTTATTGGATGGTGTTTTAGTTGTGTCCTCCCAACCTGTACTAACTGGGAACTCATTTGTTAGGAGGTATCTTTGCAACTCTTTGATTTGTAATTAGTGATATATACAAGTTTGTGTAAACGAGACCACATTTTACTTTTTTCCCCAAGGATGCATTTCACCTTTATGATTAAGCAATGGAAATGAAAACCAATTTCACAATGTAAAGGAAAAGCAAACAAGATATGTTAGGGACAATGGAATCACTTACGAATGAATCATGTTTTCAGAAAAACTAATGAGACTTAAGATTGGTTCTTCAGACATCTCAGCTTCATGTTTCTACCATCTTCACAGGAATTGGCATGTGCGAGGAAATCTAAACATGAGCCTAGTTGCCTGCTTCACTCAACCTATTCATAGTAGTCAATGGAACAGCAGCTGCAATGTCCCGGCAGCAGGTGGTCAACTATAATCTAAATATTACACAGATTAAGGATGAATTAAGATTCAGGTCCACTAATCAGAAAATTCATCGGTTGAGTAGTCAAAGAATCTTAAAAAAGTAAAGTGGAAAGGGAGCTTGGTCCCCTTATACCTTGTTTGACCTAAAAAAGACATAGAGCCTCTTCCCTGACAAACATGAAAAAGACCAAAAGAAGAACATGAACAGGAAATTTCAAACGCATATGCTTTTGGTCATGAAAAGAACTAACTCCTGGTTAGAAGCCACCTAGATGGGTAATCTAATCTAAGGAAATTCAGAATTTAAAGATAGGTAGGGGAAATGTCAAAAGAGTATGCAAGCATTCTTCAGACATCAAATGTAACAAACCAATACAATACAATTCAATTAGTACAGCAATGTTCTATTACAGAATAGAGGTGTAAAACACGAATAATGACGAGGTTATACAAGTTGGCCAAATTGAATTTGTGGCAACAAAATCTCTTTTTCATATTAACATGGAATCTGTAAAACATTTTTCAGGAGAATAATTCAACATCAGTTAACATAGCTGACATACAGCAGCTTATGGCATCAACACTGCCATTCCAACTGATACTCTGTACAAGATACAACTTTGCTATTACCAATCCAAGATTTATTCCTCAAACATTTACAAGTGACAGCATTCCCATTGATGTGCCTAGCCTAAGGGAGAGAAATATCAAATAAATTGCTATAAGGCCGAGTCCTAAGATCTTGTTAGGGTGCATTCCATTCCTAGGTAGCACAACAAGTGACCAAAGAAGCCCTAATACTAGAAATCCCATAGTATAAAACAAGCTACTATCTTTGGGAATTATGAACGGCTCCGGTCTCTTGTTCCAGGCTGCAAGCAGCATTGAGATCCCCAAACCAGCAAGTGTGTTAAACATAGGCCCGGCATAACATCCTGACATTGCAATCTGTACACCGTCTCCACCATTCATTGCCAGTGCTACATTCGACATTAAATCACCCATCGAGTTGCCCCATGCTAATACAGTCAATCCAAGGATTGACGGATTAATTCCAAAGATTACGCCCAATGTCACCAGCAATGCAACAAGCTCGTTCGCAACAATGTAGAACCAGATAATACTCATAAAGAATCCTCCCAAAACCCATGGAAATAAAAATTTGCGAGGGGGTTGGTCAACTCGAGTGTGTAGATATGCAAGAACGCCAAAGACACCACTAGAGACAAAACCTATGAAGTACGCAACCTTTTTACTCAGAGATCCCACATCATCTTGGGTGTTCCATAAGAATACAAGAAGAATGGGAGCTAACACGGCACTGGAAACAGCATAACCTTTGGACCACCTATCCTCCTCAACAATTGGGATTGTCAAGCGTCTTGGCAGCGTCAATGGAATCTCCAACAGTGATAAAAATTTAAAAGAGGACGAGTGTTCCTCCATTGTTTCCTCATCGTTCCAACCCCACAATGACCTTGGGCTGTCTGAACTAGCCTTCAGATTCTGATTTGAATAAATTGCCACATTTGAAGCCCACATCCACTGTGGCAACTTACTTTGAAGCTGGGGTACCTCACTGTCAGATTCAGATTCAAGAAGTGAAGCATATACCGATGATTCATCCTCGTCACTTGCCTGAGAAAATATACTTCCTCTAACCGGTAGCAACGGAGTTACAGCATCCAACCTTAATTTCCGAACATGTTTCCTCAGAATCTCGTTTGCAGCGACCACAAATGCATAAACCACATAAATCAAGACAAATGCTATAGCACCCCCAACAGTAACCTCACCAACCATCAACATGAAGGCAAGTGACATTACAGTAAAGAGGAAAAAACATATATCTCTGATAAAGCATTTCTTATCAATCTGAAACCCCCTATCAGCCACACAGAGAGATATAGTCCCAACAACAATACAAGTAACAAAGACGGCTCCACCCAACACACTATTAAGGCCCACTTCGCCTGCATCCTTCCCCACAAAAGCAGCAATGCTGGCAAACACATCAGGAGCACCATTCCCAAGTGGAAGCAGAGACACACCAGCCACAGTTGCTGGTAGCTTCAAGAGACTAGAAAGCTTCTCCAGAGAACAACAAAAGTAATCTGCGGCAGTGTTACCCAATAGATAGAACAAAGCAGCCAACCATATTGCCAACACTACATACCCCAAAATACTAACTTTTTCACAGTCACAATAGAAGAAATGAATGTAATTCAAATACCCACCGGAACTGCACTCCGGATGGGTAATTAAGAACTCACATTTGCTCTGATAACCTTCGTGTTTTAACAAGCCGGTACAGAATTGGGGATGAGTCGCTGATAAGAAATTGGCATCCGACCCATTAACACTTACACTATAATTCGACGAAGAAACATTAACTTCAGCAATTCTCCTGCGAATAATATCAACCCGATCACCAAGGCCTTTAACTTTGGAACTCCAACGAGGAGGAAGAACCGAATGCGAACTGCCCAGAAACTGGTTTCTGAGAAAACTGTCCTGGTTGTAGAATAAGAAGAACAAAACCAAAGTACAAATTCCATTGAAAACCCCGCGAAATTGGGAATTTTTTGCCCCGAAAAAACACTTGGGTTCTATCATGATTTCTCTACCTGCCCCCTCCTATCCAACCCTAAATTTCTGAATTTCAGACTCGATTAGACGAAGATCGATAAACCCAGAGTCGGAGAATGGAAACAAGTCTAGGGTTTCAAATGGGTTTGGCCAAAGCAATGGCCTAATTGGTAAAAAGACATCGAATTCAGAAAAGGGGTTGAGAATTGTAAGAGATACAATGATATTTTGAAATTATACAAGCCAAAATGTAAGGTATTTGAGGAAGATGTCAGGAGGAGGTACCTTCCGGTAGAGAGAGAGAGGTTTAGCACTCTTTCTGGGTAGAGAGAGAAACAGAAAGAGTGCTAAGAAGAACAAATAAACGCAGCTTCTTCGTAGTTTCTCCGGTCTGCCAATTGAGGAAGGAGGAGAGAGCAGAAGCCGTGTCTTACTGGCGCGTACCAACAACAATTGGATTCTGATTTTTGGTCCCAACATCCAAATAGTTGGTGGGAAACTTTACTGGTCTAGCTCAGAAGTTAGCTTTCTTAATGGCTAACCCAGCCCACCTTATAAAAGGCCGGGTAGGAATGGCCCATAGTCTACTTGCGGGCCTTACCTTCATGACTAAAATTGTAATTAGGACAATATGAATAACATTTGAATGAAAAATTAAGATTAGCGTTGAAATGTCCCACTACAGAAACCTTTCCGTACAACTCTTGCCTAGTCTAAATCCTAACACACCATCCCACTCATTTCATCACTTTTGCTTAATCTCAAGACTTGACCTTTCCACTATTCTATCGTTTTTGGACCACAGAAAAGAAAAAGGCTTAACCTTTCAGCCTTCTACGAGTATGGTAAGCTTAAAACTTTTGGCTTGCTACAAGCTGGGCTCAGGGACTGCAGTCAGCCGCTTCCCCTGCAGCCGTCAGCAAACAGAGATATATAGCCCCTCCTATTGATTGAGAACTTCCCATGCTTGCTTGCTACCAATATTTGGTCATCTTTGTATGGGCTCTCTGTGTGATAAGTGACATGTGATATGGAAAGGCCGGGTAGGAATGGCCTATAGTCTACTTGCGGGCCTTACCTTCATGACTAAAATTGTAATTAGGACAATATGAATAACATTTCAATGAAAAATTAAGATTAGCGTTGAAATGTCCCACTACAGAAACCTTTCCGTACAACTCTTGCCTAGTCTAAATCCTAACACACCATCCCACTCATTTCATCACTTTTGCTTAATCTCAAGACTTGACCTTTCCACTATTCTATCGTTTTTGGACCACAGAAAAGAAAAAGGCTTAACCTTTCAGCCTTCTACGAGTATGGTAAGCTTAAAACTTTTGGCTTGCTACAAGCTGGGCTCAGGGACTGCAGTCAGCCGCTTCCCCTGCAGCCGTCAGCAAACAGAGATATATAGCCCCTCCTATTGATTGAGAACTTCCCATGCTTGCTTGCTACCAATATTTGGTCATCTTTGTATGGGCTCTCTGTGTGATAAGTGACATGTGATATGGTAGCTCAGTCAGCTAGCATGTGAGCTGGGGCCTGGTTAGCTTAACTAACAGGTGCATTCATGTCCGTATAAAACTCATATGGCCATTGTGGATGTGGTCAAATCTTTGATTTTCATATACATCCACCGGTGAACTCATGTTTGTATACTCAGCATGTGATGATCACGCAACCCAATTTACGTTTGTGCTTGACAAGTGTCGATATTTTGGAAGATAATGATTATATATAAATGTGGCGTGACGCTACAGCACTCTCCACTTTATATACAAACAAACCCAGCAGCAAATTAGCCACTCTACTCACTGATTTCAATCATTTTATCCATCGCTTCTCATAAGCTATCCAGTCATCATTGTCTGGTCTCCGGTAATTGATTTTCAACCTCTGATCATCTCATGTATTGATGTGCTCTTCTCGATCTTCTTCTTCTTCGTTTATTTCTTGTTTTGTTTTGATGTAATGAATCCTAATACACAGAGATAATGAATATGCAGAGATGGGATTTGCCAAGAAAGAGTATGAGTTTCTAAGCGAGATCGGTCTGGGTCCTGAGAATCCTGGTGGCTTCATCAATGGCAAGTGGAAGGCAAGTGGCCCAGTTATCTCTACTGTTAACCCTTCTAACAATCAGGTTTGTAACTTATTTTTAATCTCCATTTTCTTCATCGATGATTGATTTTTTCTTTTCTGTTATATAAAGATATAATTTTGATAAGAAGAACTTGAAGATTTGAGTTCAATCACACAAACCCAGAATTTCAATGTTTCTAATATTCTTTTTGTGCATTTGGATGTTAGCAAATTGCTAAAGTCACGGAAGTGTCTATAGAAGATTATGAGGAGGGCTTGCGTGCCTGCAATGAAGCAGCCAAGACATGGAAGAGTGTCAGTTCTTGTTATTTTCACTACTTTTGATACATTACAAGTTACAACTCAGAATTACCGTGTGAAATTTGTATGCTTTAGACATGTCTTTATTTTACAAAGTTAATATATTTTTGGTGCAGCTCCCAGCACCAAAAAGAGGTGAGATTGTTAGGCAAATAGGAGACGCATTAAGAGAGAAATTGCAGCATCTGGGTAGGCTTGTGTCCCTCGAGATGGGAAAAATACTTGCTGAAGGAATTGGGGAAGTTCAGGTATGACAAAATGATACCTTAGTTAAAATTTCTTATCTTATTCATCTGTTGAGTTGTGAATGAGCTTTTGAAGAAGTTCGCTGTTGTTGCCCTTAAGTGTTAAGATGGAATTTTCAGTTACCCTTCTTGTAGGCATAATCTTTTTTAAAATTTTGAAGTCCTGGGCACTACTTTTTGCAGGAAGTTATTGATATGTGTGATTATGCTGTTGGACTGAGCCGACAACTGAATGGATCTATCATACCTTCCGAACGTAAGCTCAAAATTTGTATTTCTTGCTAATTTTTATTTTATCCTCCTCTTTTGAATTGCGTCATGAAATTTTAGAAGCTCCACAATGAATATCTGGTTGCTAAGTCAACATAATAGGCCCTTTTCTGCGTTTCGTTTGCAGGTCCAAATCATACGATGTTCGAGGTGCCTTACTAGATCTTACCTTGAACCTTGATCAATTTGTATAATACTATTAGAACTTTGACCATTTTCTTTTACGTGATTCAGATTGATTTTGGTGCATTTAACATGTGCATTTTTATACACCACAGGTCTGGAATCCATTGGGCGTAGTTGGTGTCATCACTGCTTTCAATTTCCCATGTGCTGTTCTTGGTGGGTTCTTGTTCTGTTTTGCCTTCACAGGGCTGAAACATAAGTTAAACAGCTCCTTTGTTATTGTGTACAACTATCATGATGCTGGATCTATTGTGCATTAAAGCATCCAAGAAATTGAGGATTTAGTGTCAGCATCGATCTTGCTTTTTTTATTTACTGTGAAATTTTAGAACTTAGAAGCATCCACTATCATATATTCTACCCTAAGCAAATATGCCTTAGCTATCTGTCAACAATGATCTTGGCATTTCATAGCTGCAATGATCTTCACTGAATGTTGTTTCGTTCACTTGTTTATCAGTGCAGTAATCCTCTGTGCGCCATGGAAACCTTGTCATTGTCACTGTATAACATATAATTATAATACATAATTAAGGAGCAGAAGGATATATTGAAAAGTAATTTGTTTATTAAAGATGTGCTTTATTTGTCACTGTAATTCACTGAATGCGTTATAAATTTTAAACTGCAAGATTTCCAACCACACTTCTTTCTTTATTTGGTGATTTAGGATGGAATGCCTGCATTGCGTTAGTCTGCGGTAACTGTGTTGTATGGTAAGTTTATATGTGCTCCTGATTTCAGAATTGGAGTTTTGATCAATTTTTCAATTAAGTGTACTCACAATATCTTGGCTGTTTCACTTTTATACTACGAGATATCTTAAGTAAGTTAATATGACACATTTTCTAAATCTATTGAGTTTTATTATATTATTTCGTTAAAAAGATATACAGGTTTTATAATAGAGTGGTTGCTGGTGATGTTTATGCATTGTAGGAAGGGTGCACCAACAACTCCATTGGTAACTATTGCTGTGACAAAGCTAGTCGCTGAAGTTCTTGAGATAAATAACTTGCCAGGTGCTATATTCACCTCTTTCTGTGGGGGAGCTGAAATTGGTGAAGCAATAGCAAAAGACACACGGATACCCCTGGTTTCATTCACTGGAAGCTCAAAGGTACACTGGTCATGTACATGTGCCTTTTTAAATTTTTGCTTTTCCCCCCATCACCACGACGCCAAGCTTATCTTTCACATTACCAAATACAGGTAGGTTCGAAGGTGCAAAAAATTGTCAATGAGAGGTTTGGTAAATGCTTACTTGAATTAAGTGGAAACAATGCCTTAATTGTTATGGATGATGCCAACATTGGGCTGGCAGTGCGTTCTATCTTGTTTGCTGCTGTTGGTACTGCTGGTCAGCGCTGCACAACGTGCCGCAGATTGGTAACTATTTATCCTTTAAAATTCCATTTTTGTGATTTGATGTGGTTATAGAAGTAAACTTTCTTTCACCATGGTTTTTCTTTGCTTTGCCTTTTGCTATTCTTTTCTTGCTTGAAAAAAAAATGTACAAATTTGTGTTCATATGGCTTCACTGGAGTGCAGTATCTTCACGAAAGTATATATCAAAGTGTATTGGATCAACTAGTGGGACTTTACAAGCAAGTCAAAATTGGGGATCCTTTGGAAAAGGGAACTCTAGTCGGGCCAGTACATACTCAGGCTTCGAGGGAGAACTTTGAGAAGGGGATTTCAACCATAAAATCTCAGGCATGTTCTATGTCTCTTGGAGAAGCACACACACACACACACACACTCAACCCCAGAGCAAAAAAAGATTCTTATGTCTTACACGTTGTAATTTACTTATTCAGGGGGGAAAGATCCTTACAGGTGGATCGGTTATAGAGTCAGATGGAAATTTTGTACAACCGACAATTGTCGAGATTTCTTCAGATGCCTCTGTGGTGAAAGAAGAATTGTTTGGCCCAGTTCTCTATGTTATGAAAATTAAGGTAGTCTTAACTTATTAAAGGTTTCTCTTGCATTATTGTTTATTATACCTTTCTTCTCAGATAAAATGTTGCAACTTTTTGTTTCAAAATATGCAGACTCTTGAAGAAGCAATTGAACTGAACAATTCGGTACCACAAGGATTGAGTAGTTCAGTCTTCACAAGCAAGCTAGAAACTATTTTTAAATGGATTGGGTGAGTTTCTAACGACCCTAGAAAGTGACACTTTAATGACAAATGAACTTTTCAAACTACAGTGTTTAATTATTTTCATTCAAATATGATGCAGGCCACATGGTAGTGATTGTGGTATAGTGAATGTAAATATACCTACTAATGGAGCTGAGATTGGTGGTGCCTTTGGCGGAGAAAAGGCAACCGGCGGTGGTCGTGAAGCAGGAAGTGACTCCTGGAAGCAATACATGAGACGTT